TATATAGGGCGACTATCACTCAAAGACGAAGTCGCTCTCAACTGTTGAGCCCTACGCCAGGTAGACATCGGTAGACTTGAGCTCTAAGTGACCGATGGGAACGCTCTCTGCAGCTTCGGGCATTCTGGCTTCGTGTTACTCAAATACAAATACGAAATGAATGCTGCTGCATACACATAGACGACTTAAATGATCTTCTCTAACTCCTCATCATCTCTTGCTCTTGTTAGGCAGAAAAGCGAAGAGTTTTTCTAGATCTAGCCTAAAATAGGCTAAACTGGCGGCATGCTCTTCACTTTTACTATTCTTCTTCTTCTTTTAAATATATCAATGTCCATACATTTGTACAAATGCTATAATATATAAAAACGCATAATAATAATAATAGAATAATAATAGTAGAAACGCACATACTCCTTAGTTCAACTAGAAACAGAGTATTCTAAGAAAAAACACCAAGACATAAATTGAGAGGGGAGAGCGGGCCGTCAGGGGTAGCCATGGCTTAGCTCTTCAGTCACAGTCAGAGCTTAGCATATTTCTTGTTGGCTGCTGCTGCTGCTAAATTGTAAAATAAATCAAAATCACAATCACCCGACCCTCAAGCCAGCTGCCAAGCAAAGTGCCAATTGCATTGCCAGGCAATAGGAAATGGAGCAACTGGGGCAAGTCATGGGGTCGACGGGGGCAAGTGTTATTGATGTGCTTTTAATTGAGGGTTGCATATGTGTGTGTGTTTGTGTGTGTGTGTGTGAGTGTGGGCGTATGCACATGTCTCGTAGTCATGTTACACGTTGCCATGTCTCGTCGCATGTCAAATCATTTAACTCATAACGGAAATTTTATTAGTATTCCAGGAGGAGAACACTTACCGGCATTCGTGCAATGTGCTAGCCAAATCAAAATGGCCAAATTGATGGACCAGCAAAAAATGCCAGAGAATCCAGCAGATGCCTTCCACTTGGCACTCTCCGCTCCGCTGCGTCGTCGTCGTCCCCGATGCTGTTGGTTATTTTTTGGGCAATATTTGCCAGGCATTTGCAGATTTGTTGCCACCTCGATGCCCTCGGCTGGCTGTTGATTGGCAATACCCAAATCGAGGCTCAGCCTCAGCTCCGTTGACTCCACATGCCCGTCCGTATGCATCTTGTTGCTGCAATTGCAAAGAAAACAAGAAAAAAAAAAAAAAAACATATTAATTCTTGCTGCAATTTTTTGTTTTCTGCAAAGAGTTTTCAGTTAAGGCCTTGATCTCAATCCCTTCTGGCCATATGGCACGCGCGACAGTTCTTGAGTGCCCGAGCCCTGCCACGCGGTCAGACATCATTTTAATGCAAGTGCAGCAAGTTTTCAAAACTTTTCTGCGCTTTTTTCCCACTCTTAATTTATGCAGGCAAACTTTGAGCATAAAAAATAAATTGACAGCTAAAGGAATTAAAGTTTTTCGCTCAACGCTGATGTGACAAAGTGCTAAGGGATCAGCTAAAACGTTTAATTAAAAAAGTGCTACGAACAACTCGTAATGTTTCAATCAATATCTATTCAAGCTATTTCAATATGCAATTAACTCATTTTCCATAATTAATATGTGATATTAGAAGAAAAAACACTATTTTTTCACACAAATCAAAGTTTTGTTTATTATCTGTTGGCTATAAATTAATTAAATTCCAATCATTTTTTACGATGGAATAAATCGTTTTATTTACAAGATTAGTGTTTGCGCTAAAAAGTTTATTTGAATAATATATTGCTATTTTTTTTTTTTTTCACTTTTTTAATGCTAAACGAATTGTTTGGAGGCAGGCGTCGTTAGTGTTATTTAAATTTATAATTTGTACATATTTTTATATATTTTTATATATGCCAAAGCAGAGCTAAAATTAAATTGCTTTCGTGGAAATAAAACCGCAACTTTGTAAGTCAAATGCGAAGACCAAGTTTTGGGTGTTATTTTTAGCACATTTTCAACTTTGGCATGCTAATTTTAACTGGTTCTTAAAATAATTTGCGTAAATTGAAGACGCGACGCCTTTCGGATGAAAGTGATAAAAATTAATGCACACAGTGTGATCTGGCATACCCTGTGAATATAACAAGAAGAAGGTATATGCAGTTGAGCAACTGATTGAAGAAGCATTCAACTTGGATTTGTAAAATATATAATAAATATATTTTATTTGTATATCAAATATACATATTCAAATACTACACATTTTTATGAATTTTTATCACTTTTGCAATATAAGGAAAAATATATAAAAGACACCAAAAAATACTTGAAAATGTGCTGACAAATTGACAAACCTTAAGTTATTTGAAAAAAAAGAAAAAATGTATATATTCAAATAAAATAAAAGTAGAAAGATAAAAGCAGATAGCTTCGTGGAGGCACGCATAAATTTGCGACTGTAATTTGGTTGTCAGAAATAAATGGCACCTATTTCAATTCAGCTCAATTCAGCCGCTGTGCAGGTGTCCAGGGACTTCCCCGGGTGTCACAAACGGCAGGCGAGGCAAAAACTGACATTATTTAGATTAATGAACAGAACACAATTTTTCTGGCAAATTCACTTGTCAAAATGCGTTTACAGTGCTTGAAAAAAAGTTTCTACTATGACTGACTGACTGAATGACCGAATGAATGAATGAATGAGTGAGTGAGTGAGTGAGGGAGTGGCTGTGCCACTGTCTGCGAACTGAAAATAGGGAATGAGCGGGGGTGACGGGATGAGCATCTCATGTCATATGTCGAGAACAATGTAAAAATTGCACAATTTGAAACAAATTAAATATTAATTAGCATGGCGTGTGCATTAAACGTAATTAATGTTTTTCCTTTACGCCTTAGGCGTTAATAATAAATGAGCATGTGCTTTTATACTTTTATTATAGAGTCAAGTGTTGATTGCCCCCGGTCAGCAACAGAAGCCGCTTTGCTCTGTGAATAAGCTTATTTGCAAATTAATAGCGAAAATTATTAATCAAACATTGAAAACTTTATTAAATATTATATAAATAAAGTTGCGGTTTTTTTCTTTTTCAAAGTAATCAAATATATTAATTTTGGTCTTCATTATATATTAATTTTGGTCTTTATTGAATAGTGTAATATAATAAAATATACAATGCATTTTTTTTTTAATTTTTTCTAATTAATATTTTGTAATTTCTTCACATATATATTCTTTATATGTATTCAATTAAATATTAACATTACTTTTATTAATTGTCCGATAATATGACTAGATTAATATTGCGTTAATATAATATTTAATAGAGCTTCAACTCCATATAATTATAGTATTCGATTATTTCATTGTACAATATGAACATAAATATTCTAGCATGCCATGAAAATGCTTCGATTTTCGAATGCAACAAAATCACACAAAACTAATTTGCTTTCGAACAAATTTTATGTAAGAGTACACACACACACACAAGTAAAATTTTTATAAAAACGTAGAAAATTGACGCTTTGAAGAACGAAAACTAGATTTAGACGCAGAGACTGAAATTTCATCGTGGATTCGTAAAAACAAATATTTTCGTTAAATTCTTTCGGAAAACAATTTAGCCTTGACATTTGTTTCGCAGAGACGGCTTTGAATCGAGACGATTGTTCTTCATTGTACTATTGGTATTTGTTTCGACAACAACTAGAAACTAGGGCCCTAAATTTATAAAAACAAAAAAAGTAAACACATACATACATTATTTTTCATCCCTTAAGGATTCCTGTATTTAAAAGTAATTGGAGTAAATAATGCCGAGACCATCAGGTAAATCAAGAAGTGAAATCAATAAATTAAGATTCTTTTTTATTTTTTTTAATTTCATTTATTTTTTATTCACTTCTAGGACCCGGACCAGCGGCTTACACATTGCCGAGCACCTTTGGCTATGAGAATTGCGATGCGCGCATGCGTCGCGGTCCACAATATTCGTTTGGACGCAAGCCAGCCTTGCCGGCATTCAATCGATCGGGTCCCGGCCCGGCGGAATATCGAATCGGTCAAATTACGCGTTTTGGGAATGCGAAGGGTCTTGAGTTCTCTATGCTTCAACGGGGACAGCTAAACAAACCCAACTCGGTGCGCTTCGACTAGCTTGACGCGAATCGAGATGGAATATACTACTGGGGGAATGAAATAGTTTCTTCACGTGAGACACTCGTAGACCTTATTCTTAACAATCATTTTGTCGCCCCTGGTATAAGTCATATATATAGGTAGTTCTCGGATTAAGTAGATTATATAGTGCTTTCCCTTTATTGAAGATTCAACCAATTTCATTCATTAGCAATTCAAATGGCGGCCATGGCTAAGGCGACAAACGTTTCGGGCCTGGTCAGCAGTCGGTAGTCGGTAGTGTCGAGGAATAGAAATGCCACTTGGCAATTTAAAAGGTTTAGAGTGCACTTGAGCTGTTTGGCTTTGTGTCTGGGCCATAATGAAGCCGCCATCGGCATTAAGTTGCCAAGCTCTTAAGTAACTTACTTTGGCCATGTCTGACTGACTGACTGACTGGCTGACTGACTGACTGACTGATCTGTGCTGTGGTTCTAAGCAAAAGCCTGTTATTTTCATGCTTCTTGTAATAATCACACAGTAAACAGACAGCAGGAGCAGACGGTCCGACTCGGCTAGTGGCAGTGGCAGGGGCAGTGTTAGGGGCAGGAGGGGCAGCAGGAGCAGCCTTTGGTCGTGAGAACGCAACTGAAAGCAAAGAAAGGGCCTCGACAAACTGCCTCATGGCGACGCCGCACATTGTTGCTGCCGCTGCAGCCGCCGCCGCCGCCGCAAGTTGTAATTGCAACGTCAACGTAAATGCATAGCACGAGAGCTGCACAAGAATTTCACGGATGTGCGATGTGCGATGTGCGTGCATTTTGCAGATGGCCTCGTTGGACGCCTGGACACTGCGGATTGGATTGGGTTTGAAAACTGACCAGTGCTGGACATCACGTACGCAAACACTAACATGTTTACACATCCATGCACTGGACGAAAATTTAATAGTTGATTTGAGAAAAAAAAAAATGTGTTTGTGACTTATGAAATAATATTTTGACAAGAGCCTCCTAATCAAAGCTTGATAATTGTGTAAAACCCAGATTTGCATGAAAAAATAAAACTATATACCAAAACAATTAATAATTGAGGTTTGAATAT